CTCAGCGGCTTCTGGAGGCCCCGGCTTTGTGCACAGGAGTTGGAAGGGAATGGACTTTTTGTCTGGTCTTCTATAGTGACAGACCCGGCCCTTGCTCCAGTCTTGGCCCCGGGCTCTGAGCGGCAGCCCTATTCCCACACAAGTTGTTCGACAGCCAAGCCAGTGCACCCCCTCCCGCCCCCCACAGTGATAGGCCGAGAGGCATTCTTAACATTCTTTCCAGAGAAAAGGGGTGAAACGTCTGAATTTGGGGGTCACCATGTTATACAAATTGCAATCTAATCGTTTTTTTTACAAGAATACACTTGCAGTAAGAAAAGGAGCTTGGGAGGAGGGGCTGAGGAGACAGACAGCTTGTTTTGTCCCCCCTTTCCCCCCCCAAAGTTTGGGGTTATTGTGGCTGGTCTCTCTTCGTCCACCACAGCAGTTGAGCCAGAGTTTTCTAGTTAAATTGGTCCTGGGGTAGGGGCCACAAAGGGCCCATGGTGCCATTTCTGTTTGTTTTCCCAAATCAAAACCCCAGCAGGGCTCCTATGGCACCGCTGGGCTGCTATTGGAAGAGAATAGCCATTTCCCAGAGCATGGTGTGTCAGTTTATGCTCTGAACTTAACCTCACTGGCGCTGCACAACAGAGCCTCACAGGCCCCGGGCCCAGAGGCAAGAGAAATTGTTATCTTTTTATTGGCCCATTTAAAGTGTGTGTGGCCATTTCAGAGAATCAGAGAACAGTGCAGCAGAAAGAAAACTCCTCAGCCCCTGGCCAGGCTGGGCTGGCAGACAAGAAATCCCCTTGGGACTTATCCTGGCCCCCAGGGGCTGATGCTCACTCTTGCCCTTGGGTCTCCCCCAGAGGGTAGAGTTCTGTGTTTCTTATTGTAGACGTTGTGGCATGACACTTTCCAGTGGCGGTTCAGACGCTGGGGCAGGGGCCCAGGTTGGCAACTTGGTCTGGGTGTGGCCCTTATGCTGCTGACCCTGCCTAGCCATGGGTGCCCAGCTCTCCTTCCCTCTCAACCCTGGGACCAGGGGTGGGCAGGTAGAGCCATGCTGGGCTTCACGCCCCCAACCCTACTGCCTTTCATCTTCTTTTTCAAACAGACAAACATGAAATTACTTCTATAGATTAAAGGGGAGAACTCCTCAGTCATTCCTGAAGGCCTCACTAATGGAGGGGGCAGAGCCCCCAATCTGGAAGGAGAGGGAGAACTATGGAGCAAAACAGCCCCTACCCGGTGTGCACAAATGTGCACATGTACCCATGAGAGACAGGAAGAGAGAGACCAGCTGCTTTCAGCGCTCTGGCCTCTCCAGGGTGGGGGAATCATGGCTGGTGGCCCATCTAGGAAGGCAGGGCTTCCTGGGAGCCCAGGTCAGTGATCTCTAGGAGATACTGATCTGGAGAGGTGGCTTTCTGCCTGATCCTTCTCGGGATTCTCCCCAAC